CCTTGCCGGCGAGTGTCATCCAAAACTCAGACCACTGCAAAATGCTGACTTTAAAAACTTACACGATGCTATGGCTCTTAAATGCATCCAATGAACTTTAGATACGCCAATTATTTGACACCCCATCATCCTTCCTGCCACTCAACTTTCCCAAGGTAGGACGGCAAAGATGATTAGTCCATGTTTAAGCTGACCAACGGGGTGGCTCAATCTACATATGTGTTGTGCAGTGGTTACCCTAATCAAGCTTATTTGCATATTCATCACACACCTTTGTGGGGTGTGTGTGTGTGTGTGTGTGTGTGTGTGTGTGTGTGTGTGTGTGTGTATGTGTGTGTAGGAGCACTGGTGAGAATGGAAACAAAACTTTCCTCCCTCTGATCACCAGTTACTGCAAATGTCTTCATGGTTGATGCCAGATTGAGTAAGTCTAACACCTGGTTGCCTAGGACAGTTGTTTATATGTAATGTCCCACTGTGTTTTGTAACATGCCATCATTTTCAGAAGTGTGACAACTGCCTGATAAATTTTAATTTTAACTGCCTTAATATTAAGGAATAAGTAGAAAGCTTCATATGGAATCAATGACTGGCTGCCAGTGAAAGTTGATCCTTTCTTAATCTTTAGTCACTCTTCCCATCCAGATAAGTGGCATTGAGCCAGTTTGTGCCACATTGCCCCTTGCCTTTTCTGTTTATCAGAGAAATCTGAGTAGACAGTCACCTTGTATTAGCTCTTACATACAGCTAATACACCTGGGTACGGCATTTGGGTATAGTATTCTTCTCCACTTCTCCAAGGAAGCATGTTTGACAGCCATGTGCAGGGACCACTTTATTAGTCTTTGTGTTGCCAGAGTCTGGCCCTGGACACCAGAAAAGCACGACATATTTATGAAAAATACCTTGATTTTCATATGTCATCAGGAGACCAGGACTGTGGCCCCAAATGCTACAATGTGCCAGTGAACCTATCTCCTTATTTAGTGAGGGTAGAGACTTGAGTATTTCAAGCTCAAGTCCAGAAACAACTGGACAGAAAGGTGGATGAAATTTGGAAGCAAGAGGCAGATTTGTTCAATAATAACGCACTTATTCAAGTCAGGGAGGGAGAGTTTCCTGTCAAAGGAAAATCACGCCAAAGTTAAGAGGCAAGACTGTTATAATAGGGGTTAAGACTACTGCAATTGGGGAAAGAAACTGAACTCAACTCTGCTGAAGCAAAAGGCAGAAGGATTTTTGAATGCTGGGTGAGCTAATGGAAAAAGTACCTGGACGACTTTAGGAGAGAGTTTGGTCAATGTGATTAGGCCATCTAGTTTGCTAATTGGTGCGGATAAAAGTTAGGTTCCTACTCTCCCAGACAGGAAGATAGAGGCAAATCTTCCTGGATGATTATATTTCAAAGGGATGGCTCCTAGGTCCTTGGGAAAGACATTTCTGGGTTGTAGATTTACATGACAAA